GATAATTAAAAATAAATATAATTTGGCTGAATCTTAAACATGACTCCTAATTAAGATAAACGTTTATCGAATGTTGATGCATGCGTTCTGGTTTAGTTCTCACTATACAATCGACAGAAAATTTATGGAACAGAACAGAATAAAATTATTTAAAGTCATATATTTGCTTTTCGAAAAATACCTTGATTTTGTTAATTTCAATGCGCAGTTTTTGATTCTAAAAAAATGAAAAGCGTTGGATTGTTCGGGAATGTAAAGGCAATATTTAACATTTAATACTTTCCAGACAGTAGAAAACGCTTGCCAATAGCTTTTCAAGATGAAATAACTATTTTCTAATTTCACTTGCACTCTTCACATGCACAGTTTCTGATAAAGAGATGACAAGCGTTGGATTTTCCGAGAAAAAATTACTACAATATTTCACATTTGATCATTTCCAGACTTTCAGGTTACGCCAATGGTTTTCATGTGAAAAAAATTACTTCCTAATTCGAACTTTTGTTCTCGGGCTCGTCTAGCTTTTTTACTAAAATTCAAAAAGTTTCTGAGAAAAAAATCAAAACCGTTTGTACCTTTTTCTGCAAAAAAATTACATTCTAATTCAAAATTGTCTTCAATCAAAATAGCTCTTTTGCGTTTTTTGGAGTAAAGCACAATTTAATATTTAAAAAATGAAAACCATCAGATTGCCCGAGAAAATTAGTTTTAATTATTTAACAATTGATAATATCCAGGCAGAAAAACGGTGCAAGCAAATGGTATTTCTGCAAACGAAAATAACATTCTTTTTAAAAATATGTAGCTTGGAAGCAAAATAGTTTTTTTGTCTCTGTTTTTTTTGGTGATATACACAATTTTTCATTTGAAAAATGAAAACCGTTAGACTATCCGAGAAAATTAACGCAATATCTGTTAATTTCCAGGCGGAAAAACGGTGCAAGCAAATGATTTTCCTGCAAACAAAAATATTAAATTCTAAATTTAATTGGAAATGAAAAGTTGTTTTAGCCTTTTTTTGTAAAATGCACAATTTTTGATAAAAAATTAAAACTTTCAGGTGGATCTGATACTTTCCAGGCAGAAAAAGTATTTTAGCCTGTTTGTAAAATGCATAATTTTTGATACCACGACAGTAAAACAGTACACACCATGGTTTTTCTGTAAACAAAAATGACTTCCAAATTGTACATTGAGTTGGAAACATAAAATATCTTCTGCGTTTTCTTCTAAACTTGGCAGTTTCTAATTTAAAAAAATAAAACCATTGGCTTGTTCGAGAAAAGTTACGCAATTTTTAACATTTAATAATTTCTAGACAAAAAAATTGAGGACGGCCATGGTTTTTCTGCAAATAAAAATTGAATTTTCGTTAAAAAATAAGTTGGAAACAAAAAATTTTGTTGGTGTTTTTTTCGGTGAAAGCCCAGTTTTGGATTTAGCAAATTAGCAGTTGATTTAAAATATGGAAACCGTTGGATTGTCCGAGAAAATTAACCCAATATTTAACGTGAGAAGTTTTACCAACTGATAATCGACGCACGGCCATGGTTTCTCTGCAAAGAAAGGTCTGAAAAACTATATCTAAGTTCACTTGGAAGCAAAGTTGCTTTTTGGCGTTTTTGCAAAAATACACAGTTACCTACTGATTAAAAAAAAAGTTTGATCATTCGAGAAGATTATCGCCACAGTTAAGAGTTAACAACGTTCAGAAAGAAAATTTCCGTTCTCAGATTCGACATTTTTAAATGGAAACTAAGGACAGTTTCAATTTCCTTATTATAATCAGTAATAAATAATTTTATATAAATCTCCATGCACATATATTTAACTGATTTTTCAGAAGTAACCGTCAATCAATCAAATTTGATAATTTTTGAAAAATCATTTTCAAATGTACTCTGTTAAATTTAAAACAAAGTTACTTTCACGTACAAATCATGATAATATCGATATGATGAATATCAAATCGATGATAATATTAAATGCTCAAGTTGCTATCCATAGGAATATCGAAGGGGACTGCATGTCTTGTATCTGTTCCAGAGTATTCTTTATATTTCTACTCAGAATGTAAATTTTTATTCAATAAATAGTTTAACAAAATAGAAAAAAATGTCCCTGGTAATGCTCCTCTTAGTATCAAGGCTATAGCTGACGTCACACGGAATCTTCGGATCTGATCTGATTTTCTCCCTGATGGTTTTCCAGTCAAAGCTTGCGTTTTAGCAGATCAGATCAAGCATATCTTTAAAGTTATACGGTTCAAATGCTTTTCTTCAAGTTCCGAGAAACACATCCAAATAACTCTAATAGCAGACAATAAATTGTAGTTTTCTTTTTGATCTTTCAGCTAAGTTTTTCAAACCTGGACCTCGGAAAGAGAAATTTTTTTTCTTTTTTTTCTACTTTGTAGAACAATTTTATAATTAGGCTAATAAAACAGTAGTACACTTTCTTTGGTGTTTATTTCATCTCAGCTTCTCTTGCATTTCGTAGAATACTTTTTAGTATATTCGCGATTATTTTCAATGTTTCTGGATTGGCGTGATCAAATTATCTGTTTCATTTATGTTATCAGCAAATTAAGAAAGTCTCAAACGTTTGTTGCAGTTGAACAGTAACAAACAGTTGGTAATTCATTGGTCCTGGACGCAATTTTGTTATTTTTCTGAAGTGGTAAAATTTTTGGAAAAGGGTGTGAATACCATGTCTTGTCAGATTTTAGATGTATAGTTGTAGTTAGGCCACATTGTTCAATCCGAACCTTCATATTCACTATCAACTACGAATTGATCGCTACTCTCCGAAATAAGTTGAGAGATAATAATCTAGAGACATTTCACCTGCACTTTTCTTATATCTATTATTACTTTCGACGTGTTCTTCATCCGTAGTTCTTCCCGTTCGTTTTGAGTAAAAGGCCGCATTCATTCCAAATTAATATTTTTCTCGTTAGCAAATATAATTTGTTGAACCACTTTGTATCAATAAATTTTTCATTAGAAAATAAAAGCAAAAATTCTTGTGTGTCGTTTTATCGCCGTAAAGCTTTCCACGCCAACAAATTCGCGAACATAAAATGCTATTGTCCCAACCCACGCGCTTTCACTGTATAAATCACTAACTAGAATTACGTATGTTTTCCACAATCACAATGTCTCCAAAAACAAAGGTGGATAAGGTTAGTTAGTCTCAGATGTAGATAAATCTATGCTATTTTGCCTTATTCTATTTTGCTTTGTTTGAACGAGTGTAATTCAAGTTACCTTGCATTGTTTACGACGAATCTAACACCAGAAACGCAAGAAGCTGTGGCTACTTGTAGAGTGGTTGAGACGCCCTCCAAAACCAGTCTACCTCCAGGACACGCAAAATCTACAGTTTCCCCAGCAGCTAAAGTGATTGTGCGTCGTCCAACTGATGATGGATATACAAAACTGGTGGAACGAACCAACAGTGGAGTTGGATTAGCTCCTTCGAATGGATTGATCTCACATGCTACAGCTAGAAGTTTAAAAATTCATTAAATACTAGCCAAAATGTTGCAGCATTTTTACTTTTGCTATCGAATCAAACATTATTTTACCTGCATTTTCTACACTAGCGTTGGTGTACTCAGGTACAACCGCACCAATTGCAGAATGGCAAAAGTAGCTCACTAAAATCAGA